GGGTTTCCAAAGCTTTATTGGGTAAATCTTAATTTGAATTTAATATATTATATGAAAAAGAGATGAAGAAAGGAATAAAATTTCAGAATGAAAATTCAAAAGCGGTTTTTTCATCTTAAACACATATTTGACAGAAAATGTTTGCAAAACAGAAAATGTTTGCTAGGTAGCAAAAAAAAAAACCCAGAAGATTAAAAATTTATCAGATTATCTTCTTTTTTTGTTTTATCTAGTAATATTAATTTTGTTGATGCACCTTTTTCACAACCAAAATTAAAGCCAACATCTTTTTCTGTTCCCAGCCATCCATTGAGTTCTACCAGCATATTTCTTAGAATAGGAAAAATTCATTTGAAGCCCGTTTTATCACCAAGTCTTCTTTATTTTCAGATGCATCTTGTTTGGCTTCAGGATTGGCTCTTCTTTATGCATTCACTATATAACAATGGGATACATAAAAATTGCATTATGATATAACATGAAATTTAATGTTTTATTGTGGGTCCATTGCCAATTTATATTTTGAAATGCACAAAACAGTGATCCAAAAAAAGAATCTTTAAAAAGTAAAAAAAAAACTAGCTTACACAATAAATAAAAAAAAAAAAAAAAAAAAAAAAAAAAAAAAAAAAAAAAAAAAAAAAAAAAAAAAAAAAAAAAAAAAAAAAAAAAAAAAAAAAAAAAAAAAAAAAAAAAAAAAAAAAAAAAAAAAAAAAAAAAAAAAACAAAAAAAAAAAAAAAAAAAAAAAAAAAAAAAAAAAAAAAACAAAAAAAAAAAACAAAAAAAAAAAAAAAAAAAAAAAAAAAAAAAAAAAAAAAAAAAAAAAAAAAAAAAAAAAAAAAAAAAAAAAAAAAAAAAAAAAAAAAAAAAAAAAAAAAAAAAAAAAAAAAAAAAAGAACAAAAAAAAAAAAAAAAAAAAAAAAAAAAAAAAAAAAAAAAAAAAAAAAAAAAAAAAAAAAAAAAAAAAAAAAAAAAAAAAAAAAAAAAAAAAAAAAAAAAAAAAAAAAAAAAAAAAAAAAAAAAAAAAAAAAAAAAAAAAAAAAAAAAAAAAAAAAAAAAAAAAAAAAAAAAAAAAAAAAAAAAAAAAAAAAAAAAAAAAAAAAAAAAAAAAAAAAAAAAAAAAAAAAAAAAAAAAAAAAAAAAAAAAAAAAAAAAAAAAAAAAAAAAAAAAAAAAAAAAAAAAAAAAAAAAAAAAAAAAAAAAAAAAAAAAAAAAAAAAAAAAAAAAAAAAAAAAAAAAAAAAAGGTTGCTAGCTTACAGCAACTACTATATAAAAAAAGCTAAAACATATACGTATGATTAATTATTGAACATATTTTCCATTATTGTTTTCTGAAAAGACTGGGAATCAAATCAATAAATTATGTCTTATTTTTACCTTCGACCCAGTTGCATTTTTGAGGATATAAAATATTCAATTCTTTCAAATTATGAGTTCCCTCAAAACAAATCCTAACTTTGATTGTCTTTCGAGGA